GTTTTCAAAATGCAGGGTGTTAAAGTTGAAAATTCAAAAATTATTAATGGCTATAATATTTTTATTTTTCAGTATCATTTTACTGAATTCGGTAAACATTTTTGACACTTTCCAAAAACTAATTTAAACTATAATTTAAATTTTTTTATATAAATAGAAATCCATCGATCGGTCTCAGTCATTCACAAAAAATTCAGTTGGACCCTCTACTCCGCCCACTGCAAACGAATATCGACTTATCCATATTCACTAGCGCCATCTATTGGTAGTATCCATTTCGCTCCAATGAAACTTCCTTAAGGTGAGACTACTATTAGTTCTTTATAATACTATGAAGAACTATGTTTGAAAATTGGTTTCAGAACATTATAAAAAAATTCCAGCCTCCAGCCAACTCCGTTATTGTTTTGGATAAGGCATTTTAGCACAGCGATTAAAGAAGTTACTTCCTACAACAAGATGGAAAAAAGAAGATATTTCAAAATGGCTTCATTCTAAAAATATTATCAGTCCTCCTAAATCCTTGAAGGCAGAATTACTCTAATAACAAGGCAACATCAAAACAAATTGAAAAAATATAGACGAGATGGCCCGAGAAAAAGGAACTGAAATTCCTAGATTGCCTCCGTATCACGCAGAATTAAATCCCATTGAACTGATTACAATTAAAAGGTTACGTTTCTCGAAACAATACAACATTTAAATTACATGATTTGCGAAATGTGTTTTTGAAAGCAGTTTCAGATGTAAATGGAGAACATTGGAGAAAGTAAATTATCATATTAAAAAAATGGAAAATTCATTTTAGAAAGTGGATATAGCAATAAAAAACTTAATATACCCTATAATAATGAACTTCGGAAAAGACAATGATAATGATATCAAAAGTTATAGTGAAGACAGTGATTTTTAAAGATAGTTCTTGAATTTTTTATTTTAGGTACTGAAGTGTTACTTTTAATGCCAAGAGATTAAAAAGTGTCCAACACATGACTTTCCTACTTAGTTATTACAGGCTTTTTCCGGTTATTTTGTACAACGTATTGTAGCACCTCTGTAAATGTTTAGATAAACTAAATAAAGGGTGTCCAACAAGAACTTGAATTTTTAATGACAGAAAAAACACAGTAATTAAAAAAAAATATGCAAATATTTTATTGGATTTTCAAGATAAAATGTTGGCATTAAACATGAAACAAAATATCTGTCAAATGGCCACCGCGGCTCCGTTGACAGGTGTATATTCGTTTGACAAAATTTTGGAAGACGTTTTCAAGCAAAATCGGCTGGATTTCACGAATATTACGTTCTATTTCTTCCTTCATTTGTTGAATCGTCTCAGGATGGTTCCTATACACTCTACTTTTTAAATAACCCCAAAGGAAACAGTCTAAGGGCTTCAAATCGCAACTTCTCGGCGGCCAGTTTTGGTCTCCAAATCGAGAGATAACACGACCTGGGAATTTTGTTTGCAGTAACGCCACTGTTTCGCGTGCGGTGTGGCAGATCGCGCCATCCTATTGAAACCACAAGTTACTTATGTCCATTCCATTCATTTCCAGCCAAAGAAAATAACAGTCACGGAGACACCTTGGTTATTTTGAAAAAAATAAGGTCCGATGATTCCTCCTGCCCAAATGGCGCACCAAACTGTCACTTTTTTAGGATACATTGGAAGCTCGTGCAAGGCATGTGGATGCTCTTCCCCCAAATCCGACAGTTCTGTTTATTCACAAAGCCGTTCAAATGGAAGTGCGCCTCATCACTGAAGATAATTTTGTTGTGGAATGCATCGTCAACTCCGAGTTGTTCCAATATCCAATTCGCAAAGTTTCTGCGCTGTCTATGATCGGCTGGCTTCAGCTCTTGCGCCAACTGTATTTTCTAAAGATGAAGATGTAAATCATTTGTCAAAATTCGTTGTAATGTACTGCGACTGATATTTAATTCTTGGCCGCGATGTCGGATGGAAGTGTTTGGATGTTCGATAACACTGACTCTCACTGCGGCGATGTTTTCAGCAGACCTTCCAGACCGACGATGCCTAACACTTGTCTCGTCTTTCAATGCAAATGTCCGCTTAAATTTTTTGATTAAATTTTCAATAGCGGGCCGCGACGGACGATTATGTACACCGAAATGTTCACGTAACCTGCGTGTTGTCACTGTAAAATTTTCCCCATTTCTTTAATGGGTTTTCACAATTAATAAACGTTCTTCAAGAGTATATCGCGGCATTTTTGTTAATGTCAATGTTTTGACAGAACACATGCCTACTATGGCCTACTTGATGTTTGATAGACGGAAATGGCGCGCGATTCAAAATTCAAGTTCTTATTGGGACACCCTTATGTACATTTTCCACAAACTTCTAAATCGAAATATTTTTTTATATATATTCATTGCTAACAAAAATACTGAAAAATTAAAATTTTACACTTTTCCTCCAATTTTTAGTTTAACAATTTTCTCAAAAATCAGAATTTTGCACATTTTGACAAATTTCACGCTTACATACCATTTTAGGAAAATTTTGAATTAAGCAAAAATTATAGAGAATATTAGAAGTAACTTTTATTTAAAGAATTTTCTTCTCCAATAAATAACGGATATATGCCATAAAATATAAAAACGACCCTCTATAAATTATGTATAGGACTAGAATTATAGAGAATTGTATCAGAAATAACTTTTACAGTTTGTCAAATTTCTCGAATACGAACCATTTTAAGAAAATTTTGTATGGAACAAAAATTATAGAAAATAATATATTTTTTATTTAAAGATTTTTCTTCAAACGTAAATAATAGATATATTTCGTAAAATATAAAAATTATCCCCTATAAAGTACCCCCCAGATGTTTCGACTCTGCCCAAAATCTAATCAGTTCACCGCAGGCTGGAATTAAGCTTAAGTTTAAAATTTTATGGTTTTCTTTATATCCGTTCATGAGTTATCGTGGATATACACACACACACACACACACACACACACACACACACACACACACACACACACACACACACACACACACACACACACACACACACACACACACACACACACACACACACACACACACACACACACACACACACACACACACACACACACACACACACACACACACACACACACACACACACACACACACACACACACACACACACACACACACACACACACACACACACACACACACACACACACACACACACACACACACACACACACACACACACACACACACACACACACACACACACACACACACACACACACACACACACACACACACACACACACACACACACACACACACACACACACACACACACACACACACACACACACACACACACACACACACACACACACACACACACACACACACACACACACACACACACACACACACACACACACACACACACACACACACACACACACACACACACACACACACACACACACACACACACACACACACACACACACACACACACACACACACACACACACACACACACACACACACACACACACACACACACACACACACACACACACACACACACACACACACACACACACACACACACACACACACACACACACACACACACACACACACACACACACACACACACACACACACACACACACACACACACACACACACACACACACACACACACACACACACACACACACACACACACACACACACACACACACACACACACACACACACACACACACACACACACACACACACACACACACACACACACACACACACACACACACACACACACACACACACACACACACACACACACACACACACACACACACACACACACACACACACACACACACACACACACACACACACACACACACACACACACACACACACACACACACACACACACACACACACACACACACACACACACACACACACACACACACACACACACACACACAGACATACACACACAGACACGTACACAGACACACACACACACACACACACACACACACACACACAGACATACACACAGACACACACACACACACACACAGACATACACACAGACACACACACAGACACACACATACACACAGACACACAGACACACAGACACACACATACACACACATACACGTACACAGACACACACACACACACAGACATACACACACAGACACGTACACAGACACACAGACACACACACACACACACAGACACACACACACAGACACACACAGACACACACAGACACACACAGACACACACAGACACACACAGACACACACACAGACACACACAGACACACACAGACACGTACACACACACACAGACACGTACACACACACACACACACACACGCACCCACACACACACACACACACACACGCACCCACACACACGCACCCACACACACACACACACACATACATACATCATCGCGAAAATAGTCAAAATTCAGGGGACCCCAAAACGTAAAAATCCGTCGAAAACTCGAGGTCGAAAATTCGGGGTTGAAAAAAATCATAAGTCCTATACTTTCCTTGTCTGTATACAGATAGGAAAGTAAAAATAAATAAAAAAGCCATAAGAAAATAATTCGCAAAGCACTGTGGCTCTAGGACTATAAAGTTAATTCGTATATTTGCGAAGTTTGATAATTTCTTAGTCAATAACACAAGTTTAAATTATATTTCGCAAAGAAAGTTAAATTTACTAGATTTAGACAAAAAATATTTTACTTGAATTATTTTCTAATGCGATATGGAATTATCTATTCTACGATCCCAATATGTTAACCTATTATACTTGTTTTTAGAAGAAAAAAATAATTTTTATAAAGTTTGAGTGTAATATATGGTTGTTTCTGAATTCACATTACATACTTCTATTATGCTGTATTTTTTTTTTCACAATCTATCTTTCTTATTTTTGATTATTTTTTGGTTTCTAAATTTATAGACCAAACGCAATATTTTGGTTTGAACCAACTTATTTGGAACTTGGAGAGAATTCTACTGAGAGTATAGATATATGTGCTCGTTCAAAAACAGCGCATTATTACGAAGAATCATTTTATATGTACGGAACTATAGATCCTAACTCCAAAGTAAGTATTAAATAAGATTATTCGTAATAAATATAATATCGGATTTAATAAAAAATACATTTCAAAAAGTTTATTAATAATATATTTATTTACGTAATCCTGTGACCACCTGAGAGATCATACATTTCCAAGAGCTGAGTTAATTATTGAAATTAGCAGTATGACAAAGTAGTTATGTCATAATATGTATTTTTTTTATAATTTCTAAAAATAAATTAATTATATAGCCTTGTTTAGAGTAGGAGCGGCGCACATTGCGTTGCGATAGTGGTGCGTTGAGCGACGCGTTGTCGGTAAAACAACCTATTGTTACAAAATGCAAACGTACAGAGTGAGAGTGACTAGCCATGCGATATCTGAAATATCAATCGCGTCGCTCGATGCAACGCTGTCGCATCGAGAAAATAATATAAATATAAAAACAATAGGTAGAGGATACTCCTTGGACTAGGCCATTTGAAAATAATATAATTTATTTCGTAACCTTTCTTTACAAACGCCCTGTTTACATGTTTACTTTTCCGAGCGCTAAGTTAAAAGCTAAATGAGCAATTAATTTTTTTAAAAGTACTATATCAAGCCTAAAAATAAAATATACTCGATTGATCCAAACGTGTATGGAATAAATTCATTATTTTCTAAACCGAAAACATTAAAAACCTAAAACAATAATTTTATACATCAAAAAAATTTGTACACCTCACTCGAAAAAAATGTTAAGAAAATAAAAAAAAAGTAAAGACAACAGAGAAAAAGAAAAAAAAATTAAAAAAAAAAAACAAAAAAAAAAAACAAAAAAATAAAACAAAACAAAAAAGGAAAATAAAAAATAAACAAAACATTTAAACCATGTTAAGTTCAGCTTATTTTAGTTAACTTTAATGTAATTTGTAAAATATTAAAGTTTGTTAAACGATATTTTTATTTGTTCACCTGACAATTGAGTGGCTTGTTGGTTTATATCCAATGCCACTAACATAGTTAAAAAAATCATTATATTAACAATAATGTAATGACGTCGTCGGCAATTTTTTAATAACAATGCCCAGTATTTGGTGCCAGTTTTAGATTTACCTTTACGAGCCGATTCCGATAAAGTACCTAGGACACTTAAGGTCTAACAGTCAAAATTTAAAAGAAACGCGTTAACAAAATAAATATTTTTCTACTGCAAAAAACGAGTTTATTGTTTTTTTTTTGTTTTGTTTTATGGCTTAGGTGTATATACCCAATATGTCAGTTAAAGTGACTTACATCCACTACATATCTTCTTTACACTTGTATTGCGTCATATGCGTCAAACAGCCTTCATACTTTGATGATTTTCTATTACATGGCAAAGACAAAAGATTAAGCGCATCTCGTTGGCTACCTGGTTGCCAACGATTCGATGATTTATATAAATATTTCAGACATAACAAGACGTCTCTGTTGGAATTTCCAATTTTTAACCTTTCCTCGTATCTAATGTGGTCAAAGGTAAGTCGAGTAGCGCGGCGTTGGACACATTTCAGCATTTGTTGGTCGCATACAAGGTCTGGATACCACAAGGATCGTCTTGCATATTCTAGGATAGGACCACATCCCCAACTAGCCATTCATAAAAGTGTATTTGTTGTGAAGTTCTCATCATCATCTATTGTATAGTCCAGGAGACAGTGACGATTTTCGGTATTTATTTTCCCAGTCAGCAAGCACGAATAGAGAATTGTAGGATTAGCAATTCTAAGCAAAATTCATATATATTTAGAGGGAAGATCCGATGGGCTGAGGCCGAAAATGCGTCAAAACATACGAGAACACGGCCCTTTTTTTCCATTGATAAAAATAGTTTTAGTAGTAAGAGATGTACTGAAGTTAAGTAAAAAAATAGTCTGATTAATCTGTATGGATAATATATTTGGCAAGTGCATAAAATACACTTTCAAACGAGTTATGTACACAATTATTTCTACGACCACAATTATTTAAAGAATGTTCCAGGTGTTTTGTATATTAAAGTGTACGCATAGGACACATAAATAAAATCTTATATCACAATGTTTTACCTAACCAGTTGGTTTATTTATAGAAATTAAACATAATAATTGAAGATATTACAGAAGAAAATAAGGAAATAAATTTCTTTTTCCTTTTACACTTTTATATAATAATTGTTTTATTTAGAATTCACGAATCACTTATTACTCTACATTAATTATAATTATTGTTAGTTTCGTTATGTCAAATCATTTATACTAGAGGTGTGAGGAAAATACAGTGAACTGTGGAACGCCAATATCGTTGTATGCGCGTGGTAGAAATGGTCCTATAATACTGCTAAAAACATAGCTAAATTTTCATGGAAACACTGTACTTTTGACATTTGCGATATTCCGACGCATATGCATTATTGATGTAATCTCATGATTTTACAGTAATAGTTTTTGCAATTTTAGTGTGATTTTTAGGTTATTATGGTTATTCATTTAATTTAGTTCTGATCTTTTGGGCTATTAGAGTATTTGTCTTTTATATAGTTTTTAATTTGAATTTTAATATTGTGGTCTATTTATATTTGATTGCTGCTTTTCGACTAGTGCTTTATTCTTTTTGTGTTAAAATAAGCTTTATAACCATTAAGTACATGCTTCTAGTTGATATCTACCTAATCGTCATCGGGTGCTTGCCACAATGGGAAAAAGTGTATTGTTTTTTTGGTGTAAAGTTAGACGCCTTCATTTTTCAGGTAAGTTATTTGTAGTTATTTTTACTTAAAAGGATAGCAATACGTCCTGGTTCGGGGTGTGACTTTTGGGTTTTAGCTATCTGAGCCAAATTGTCGGCTAAGTGTCCTCTTTTAGGGCACCCAGAACCGAAAACTATATAGGTATATAATATGTTTTTTTTTCTTATTATTTTTTAATATGTATGCAGCATGGATGAGGGCTTTAGGAAGAGATCCTAATACTGAACACTGACTGCTATAAATGCCGGTTTTAGAGCACATTTCATAGTAAGTGATTTCATTCTAGCAGCAATGAGGAAACGTTTAAAAAACATGCTGTACCAGCTATTACTTTAAGACCTCTTCTCTTTAAGTTATTATTACTTCATTCTAATGCATATATTAAAATGGTTTTTAACATATGTCCTTATGATTAAAAGATGTAGGTATTTTAGTTATGTTATAATAGAAATATATGATACTTTGTATTGACTGACCTACTGGCCACTGGTCATTCCACGTTTACTCCCTTTTTTCATAAATTATCAAATTATTTAAAAACAAATACAGACCTAGCTATTTTCTGTAAATTACATTAACATTTTAGTATTAATACTTTACTAATAAAACTTCAGTTAATTTATCTTATATATATACACAACGGAAGAGTTAATTGGATTTTCTCCTTGTTGAGTTTCAAAAATAGTAATTTAACATGATTTAAAAACAAATACATGAAATGGGCAAAATAGGCCTGCAAAGGCACTTTGTAAACAATCTCACTTGTATCGATGTGACGTAATGCGCGAATTTAATCTGGCTTACTTTTGTTAATAGATTGGCGTTCCATTTTAAATATACAGTTCACCGGGAATAGATTATTTAAATATACACGGACCGGGAAAACAAGTACAAAAAAATTCACTGGCTCCTGGACTAGTACGGTATCGAAGGAATTTTTATGAATGAAACAATATACAACCCTCCACAATTGCGGTCTACTCTACTTCCGCTGTTGTCAGACATTTTTTTTTTTTTGGACAATTTAAAGACCTAACAGTAATTCAAGCAAACGCAATACCATTACTACAGTTAAAAACATCGCAAACTTGGCATCAATATTTTAATTTTATCCAAATATTGCACTTCTGTCTTTCTAAAGAGAACCCGCTACCAACTCCTACTTTAAAAGATCTGTCTGTTAGGAAATTTAAAATCCAATTATGAAGGTTATTATGTTTCAGTTTATGAAATAGTCAACGATTTGGGACTCTGTCAAAAGCCTTAGAAAATCTAGATAAATATTATCGATAGGCTTTTGATCGTCACTTGATTTGGTCCAATTATTAATATAATGGAGGAGGTTGGTAGGAGTCGATAGTTCTTTAATAAAGCCGTGTTATTTTTAAGATATAAAATTTTCTAGAATTAAAAATCTGATGTGTCCAACACATGACTTTCCTATCTAGTTATTATAGGCTTTTTCCGGTTATTTTGTACAACCTATTGCAGAACCTCTATAAATGTTTAGAGGATAAACTAAATATATACTTTTTCACATACATCTAACTCGGGAGCCATGGAAGTCATTCTTAGTTTTTTTTTTTTTAGTAATGGGATGGGATCAGACATGCAAGTCTATTTACTTTACCACAGAAAGTTTAAACTTAATAATTTTCATATATATTATGTTAAATATCTATTTTAGTATTTTGAGTAAATTTAATAATAGCGTCAAATATTATCTTATCTGATTGAACTAAAAGTGAAGAAATATTGAGTGGAAGTGGGAGTGAAAGTTTATTTAAATCTTGATACAATACGGTGGCATGTTGAGCATTTTTATTACAATCTAAAAATAAATGACTGATATCTGCTACAGCGTTTATATTGCAATATGGACAAAAGTGAGAATCCAATATTCCAATTTTACATAAATGTGCAGGGAATCGGCCGTTAGTAATTATAGATTACTGATATTTATTATAGTTCCATAAACTGATGCGATTGTCATAAGTAAAAGTATAAGTAAAAGAAGATATAATAGTCCAGAAATGTCTGGAAATGTCATTACCTGCCAAGAAAATTATAGACGACAGTTCAAGAAGGTCAGAGAACGATCAAGCAAGCTATATAAGTCGATGATCCTGACGTCAGTTATTGTAAAAGTTGAATTGAGTTATTGTAAAAGTTGAATTAAAATAAATTGAGATACCAAAAACCTGCGTAACAATATAAATAAATTAGTTTATTTTAAAATTGTGGAAATGCAATTGTTCTTTGAATGAATACA